TGCTGCTGCCAGACCTGCTGCCGCCTGCGTCCAGTCTGTGGCAATGTCTCCTGCCACACCACCTGCTATCGCCCCACCTGTGTCATCTCCACCTGTCCCCGCCCCATGTGCTGTGCCATCCCTGACTGCTGAATCTTGTCTTTGAACACCCCACTTCCTTACCTCCTCTCTCCCCACAGATGTAGACCTTCCTTTAAAAAAAAAAAAAATGTCATGCCCAAGAGAATTGATCTCCTGAGTCCCATAAGCCAATCTCATTCCTAGTTATTCTGAATATTCCACATCCTGAATTTTGTCCAAACTCCTCACCTTGCAAATGAATTCACTGAGGATCTCCTAATAATTTAACACATTACCTCCAACATTTTTCCCTTCATCTTCAGGACGTCCATTCATCATGCTTAAAGAATTTGAGATTGCTTCTGTCACCTGTATGGCCGTAGATGTTTAACACCTCTGACATTGAAATCCAATCAAGTATCACTTTATGTTCCTTTGCCAAGATTTTCTTGTACCTTGTTATTCTTATATGAAAAAAAAAAATAAACTTCCATTCTATTGTCATTGAAAATTGAATGTGGTTGTTACTCTTTTTTTTCCTATAAATTTTTATTTTATTTATCTATTTTTGCAGCAGTGGGGATGGAATCCAGGGGCACTCCACCACTGAGCTACATCCCCCATCCATTTCATTTTTTTTTTTTTTTTGAGATGTCATTGCTAAGTTATGGAGTGCAGCCTGGAACTTGTGATTCCTCTGCCTCAGCCTCTGAAGCTAGTGAGATTACAGGTGTGCACCACCATGTCCAGCTTCACTAGAAGTTTTGAAATGAGATCTTAATCCATCTTTTTTATAAGAAAATTTCCAAATATCTATTGATCAGTGAGTAGTTAAATACACCTTGGTAGCTTCCTAGGAAGACAATATAACCACTGGGGAAAATGAGGTAGCCACACATCAGTGTTTCTCAACAAGGGACAAATTTGCCCTCTGAAGATCTCAGCAGTGTCTAGAGATATGGTTGGCACAAGGGGTGGAAGGAAGGTCCTGTTGCTGTTGTCCAGCGGGAAGACCCAAAGGATGATGCCAACCATCGTATAGGGCACAGGCAGCCCCAATATCAAAGAGTGATTGATCCCAGACCAGATGTCTATGATGTCAAGGTCTGATTTACATCTATACTGTGGACATCTTATATATTGAGTTAAATAGAAGAAATGAGCAAACCTGTACATTAAATCAAGTATCCAAAATGAAATTATATAATCCCCCCCTCACCTATAATCTTTGCCATCATAAAATTGAGACATTCTAGACACCAGGTCAAATGTTCCATATATATGAGGCTGAAGAAGATCCTATAATAAGTATATAGTCTTTAAAAATCTAAATGACACAGAAGAATTTGACCCAAAGTAAGTTTTCTTTCATTAGTCTTTGCCAATATCATTCAAGAGCCATTGGTATGAGATAAATCCTTATTGAATGTATGTGTACGACATGTATGCACTTAGTCACCAATCTGGCTTTAGTTATACATTTTCTTGTTCTGGTGTTTATTAAAATACCATTTGATGTCCTTCAGGAAATATGACTACTTTCCCCCATCCAGGCCAATTGGATTGCTCAGCAGATTTTAATATTTTTATTTATCATAAGAATGGTGAGTTTTTGGCCCATTACATTTTTGTGGAGGATGATTGCTAGTGCATAAGAAATCTGTTAATTTTTAAAAGTTCATATTTTAATGAACTCATGATTGATGCCACTTCTTAGTTGATTTTCTAGAATATTCTGAGCATAAAATCATGGCAGCGAAATGCTTCCAGCCTTAGGCATGTACCCTCGGCTTGTACACAAGTTGCCCAGGTGGTGACCCCATCATTAACACAAACATTTTGGGGATTTTTCTTCCTCCTCTTACTTTCCATAATTCCTCACTTGCGTCTCCTAAAATCACCCCTCAAGTATACTATTTGCACTCAAGTCTCTGTCCCAAGTTCTGCACTTTTGTATAAAATAAAAATGAAGACAATAGATGTTCAGCAAGTAAATTTGGTCGACTGATATCAAACTGGTAATGATGCCTTTTTTTTTTTTCCTAGCAATAAAAGTAAAACAGGGAAGTCAGAAGGTGAAGGACTGGTGCTATCATTTGGTGTTTCCCGCCTTCTTGGCTTCTTCTGTGTGGATATGGGCATTTCAGTGAAGCACAGTATTCATGGATGTCTATAAACAAGTCTCAATGCAAACAGAGTCTTAACTTCCACAACTTTTCACATGTCATTTATCAGGTGACATGTTACCACAAAAATGCAGTTTTCCTTAGATGGAACTGCAATCTGTTTGTCTGGAATATTCCTTTTCTTTGCTCCAGCAGTCAAAAGATACTTCATTCGCTCCAAAACACTTATGGCCAGTGTCCTCTCTCTCCACCTTATGGTAACAGAAATAAATGCCATAGCCCAGGACTTCAGGGTATTAGGATTGCACCTGGGGGAATGGCAGAAGTCAGTAATGAATTAGAAACACAAGACAAAGAATAATGATAGAGGTCTTATTAGGACAGTAGCTTATCAGGAAAGATATTGAGAAGGAAGCACTTCAGCTGGGTCATGACAGACGAGTAGGTTTGCAGAGCTGACGAGGAACAAAAAACATTCCCGGAAATTCAACAGCTTCAGCAAAGGCTTGCAAGTTTTATTCTTCACCCCTTCACTGACCACTTGGAGACATACAAGTTTTTGTTTAATCTTGAACAACTTTTAAGTTTGTTTTAACCTTTCTGTGTGTCTTTGGACTCTTCCACTAAAAGAGTAAGGACACTATTTCATAGGGCTGCAATAAAGATTAAAAACAATATGGATTAAAAAATGTTCAGCACAAAGCCTGACACAGTGAACCTGTCACTATGAGGCGCACACACTGAGGATGCATGGAACGCATCCACAAACTGTATATTTTTATTTTAGTTGTGAAATTAAAGTAATTGTAATTCTTTAATTTTTGCCACACTGTTTTCTGGTGTGGATCTTATACAAGTACCCCCAGGAAAGACATGAGGGGTTATCTGTTCTGTTTTCAGAGGAGCCAATAGGATATCTTGAATACATATTTATTGAAAACTTATTGATTCTAGAAATCAACAAATGCTCCTATGAAAGAAAAATCCATTGTGCAATTTTAGCAATAAAAAAAAAAAAAACTCCCTGCTCCGACGGCTATTCTGGAAGACATACAGCAAAAATGTGTTTTGATTATGTGAAAACCATGAGTCATTGCCAAGTGCTTCAGCTGAAGACCCTGGAATGAGACCTGACACAGAGCTTGGAACTTCCTCGGGTCTGACCCTGACCTTCTAAGGTGGCCACACAAAAAATCACCATCATCCTCATGACAGATGGGACATCCTCCTCCCAAATGGGCCTTTTCTTCTAGTTCCTTTCCAACATTTCACGTGACCGGAAAATTCTTCAACAACAAAAGATACATTTGAATTATGAAAAACATCCTCTATGATTTGCATACAGATAGGAGGAAATATTACATCTGAAAAAAAAATATGTCAGAATGTCCATTCTTGAGTACTTCATAAAAGACCACTGCATAGGTCGAGGTCAAATGTGACACCCACTAAGGAAAAAATGTCAAAAATGTTTCAGTGGGAAACACAGGAGCACAACAGGAAAAGGAGATATGCTATTTTCTTTCTTTGGAGTACTTAATTAGAAACATTCTATTATGTAATTAAATAATTAAGTTTTCCAGGAAGGTAAATAACAACAAGGAAATAATGACATGGTGAAAGAGAAGTTTGGTGGGATATAAAAGGGGGTGTGGTCCAAGAAGACTTTCAAACCCAAGAATTCACTCTCCTGGAAACCCACCCAGAACCTCCAGTCTCTGACACCATGTGCAACTCCTCTTGTGGCTCCTGCTGCTCTAGCCAGGGCTATGGCTGCTGCCAGCCCAGGTGCTGCCAGACCACCTGCTGTAGGACCACCTGCTGCCGCCCCAGTTGCTGCAGCCCCTGCTGTAGTGGGTCCAGTGGCTATGGTGGTTCTAGTGGCTGTGGCTCTTGCTGCTGCCACCCCATCTGCTGCAGGACCACCTGCTGCCGCCCCAGCTGCTGTGGCTCTAGCTGCTGCAGGCCCTGCTGTGTGTCCAGCTGCTGCCGCCCCTCTTGCTCTGGTGGGTCCAGCTGCTGTGGCTCCAGCTGCTGCCGCCCCTGCTGCTGCATCTCCAGCTGCTGCCGCCCCTCCTGTGACTCCTGCTGCTGCCAGACCTGCTGCCGCCTGCGTCCAGTCTGTGGCAATGTCTCCTGCCACACCACCTGCTATCGCCCCACCTGTGTCATCTCCACCTGCCCCCGCCCCATGTGCTGTGCCATCCCTGACTGCTGAATCTTGTCTTTGAAGACCACATCCTTATCTCCTCTCTCCCCACAGATGCAGAACTTCTTTTGGGCCCACCATTAGGACACATGGAATCTGGTTAATGTTATTCAACAGAATGGGTTTCATGATTCCAATGAGCCCAACACTGTCCCACAGAAGCACCTTACAGTTCATTTTAAACTCTCTTCTTTCCAATGCTGTCATCAAATAAAAGTTAATTTGTAATCTACTAGCAAAGAAATTACCTTGATCCTCCAGATTACTCATTTTCCTTACTACTTGGAGGGGCTACATTATTTACTACATTAACTCTAGCCCCAATGTAGGCATGAATTTTATTCCCTCAGTCCTGGGGGGTCTAATTATATCATAGATTCTCTCCTAGAGTAATTTTCTTATGTTTTGTTGCTCTTCTGCTTTGAAATAAAATTTTTCTGCCCAAAAGAATTCTTTGATGTTGTTCTCTATTATTTTCAGAGTCATTTACTCAGTAACCAGGCAATTATATTTTATACAAAGACACAGAAAAGTTCATGTTGAAATAATTTTGAAAATAAGTGCTAAGTCAAATATAGACAACTTAGGATATTAACACAAAAGTGGTGCATTTGTAAGTGTAAAAAGTGGTGTGTGGTGTGTGCCCATGCATGCACATACATGTGGCCTGTGTGTCTCCATATCCTGAATTAGGACTTAAAAATCATTACATTGTTAATACATTATACCTCTTAATACCATTGGTTTTGTTTTGGAGAAAATGTACAACCAAATTTCTGGGGAAAAACAGTTCATGCCAATGAAAGCAGGAAAATCTCCTACAAAGAAGATAATGTACCCTATTCATTCATTCAATAAACAACATTTCAAAGTGTGTTCACAAAGAGGGTTGTATTTCCCATTGAGTTCTGATGAGAAGAAATGCAGATTTCGCTACATTTTTAAGAAACAACATTTCATCTGGATGGCGTGGTATGTTTCTGATTGTGGTATTTCAGGGTTTTCCTTATGATTCAAACATCTCTACACTTCACATTCTAACATACATGGCCCTAGAAGTCTAGAATTTCAAAACTCATTTTTCTCTATCTAAGGATTTTAAAAGTTATAAGTAGTTCCTAGTAGTTCTCAGCTGGGATGCACATTGGAGATAAAATATCCAGGAGTGGTGGCTGCACCTGAATTTGAAAGACACAGTGTTTTGACATGACTCTCCAGGAGGACTGCTTCAGTGATTGTTACTGATATCAAAATGAGCCCATGAACATGCACTGAAATGGATTTAGACTATTGAAACAACAGGGTTGAAGATGATTTGTGTAGACATCACTGGTAAGCTTCGTGTTTCTTCAGATGCCATTAGAAAAAGGCTTCCAAGATTTTAATCATAGAATTAAGACACCCTGATGAAAGAAGAAAATTTCCCCATTTCACAACTCATTTGGAATCTGCCTTAGCTGTTTGGAATAAAGAAGGAATGTAGAGGGGAGGAAACAGGAGGTGGAGGGAGAGGAAGGGCAAATACCAGGGGTTGAATTAAAACAAATTATATTCCATGCTCTTATAATTATGTCATAGTATATTCTATTGTCAGGTATAACTAAAAAAAGAACCAATCAAAAAAGAAGAAATAAATAGGATGAAATATACTTTAAATTTTACACAGAAGAGTTAGGAGTGTTGTTATGAAACCCTAAGTTCTGAAATCACAGATGAAATTATAAAATATAATATTGGGGTTTTACATATCCAAAACTTTTCAGTACATCAAAGGTAAAAACAAAAAACTTGAATTATTTTATTTTATCTGTGTCATTGGAGCAGGCTGGCATTAGGAGTTAACCCTGAAGTGATGCTTTGAAATTCCCTCCTCTTTGCATTTCCACCACACTCTTGTCCATCAGTAAACCCCATGAAAAAGGAAGGTTATCACAAAACATGTAAAAAGCAATAATGAAATGCTTAAATGGAAAGTTCAATAAAATCAACTTCATAAACAACTAAATAATCCGTAAAATAAGAAAATTCTGACAAAACTGATCAGAGAGAAAGTAAATAGTAACTAAAGGGCTAATGGGTAAATAATACATTTGATAGGAGGTATAATCAGCCACCAGGAGAATGTTTTTTAAAACAAACTAAAAATTTATATATAAATTTACTTTAATATGTTCAAATTTTATGATTAGATTTACTATTTCTATAAAAATATAGATTAACAAAATTAATTAATTTTATAGAAAACATAAAAACAATAATCATTAAATAAACTATATATATGATTCAAAAGAGAGAGAGAGAGAGAGAGAGAGAGAATTTTAATATTTATTTTTTAGTTTTCAGCAGACACAACATCTTTGTTTGTATGTGGTGCTGAGGATCGAACCCGGGCTGCACGCATGCCAGGCAAGTGCGCTACTGCTTGAGCCACAACCCCAGCCCCAAGTTTACTAAATCTTAAAGGAAGTTCAATTCCATTCAAACTGGAAAAAGAAAAGAAAAAAAAAAAGAAAAAAGAAAAATCTTCTCAACTCACTTTTATAAGGTAAGTACAAACATAATTTCAAAACCAGACAAGCATAGTGTGATAAAGGAAAATCATAGGCTTGTATTATTGAAGATCACAGATGCAGAAACCAAATAAATACTAATAAATGAAATATCAATATGCAAAAAGAGTAATACATCATAGCCAACTAGAGTTTGTTCTAGAAATTTAGAAATGCTTCAAAATTAGAAAATATTTAGCTGGGTAAAGTGGAGCATGTCTGTAATCCCAGTGGTTCAGAAGGCTGAGGTAAGAGGATTGAAGGTTCAAGGACAGATTCAGCAACTTTGAGAGGCCTTCAGCAATTTAGGGAGACATTGTTTCAAAATAAGAAATAAGAAAGGTCTTAGGGATGTGGCTTAGTGGTTGAGGGCCTCTGGTCTCAATCTCCAGTACCCACTCCCTGCAAAAAAGAAAATATTTAATTGAATTTTATGTTAGTACAATAACAGAAAAGTACAGGATGATCTCACCAGATGGCTCACATGATTGTGGAGTATGAAAAGTCCCAAGATCTGCAGTTAGCAAACTGGAAACCCAGGGGAATCAATGTAGTTCCAGTCCACATGTGGGTAGTCTCAAGGCCCACGAAGAGCCAAGGTTTCAGAGTTCATCTAAAAGAGGCAGAAAAGACTGATATCAAGGCAGTGGGAAGAAGGAATTCCTTGTTAGGCAGCTACTTATTCTATTCAATCTTCTATTGATTGTCTAAGGCCCATCCACATTAGGGAGGGCAAACATATTCAAAGTCATGTTCAATCAAATGTCCGCCTTTAGATTTTCAAAAATGTTGAGAGTGGATATTTAAAGTATGACACATTGATTCATACAATGCAATAACAGCGATCAGGGAAAGCACGTGAAATAGAATGAAACTTTTCATCTTTTCCTATGGGCTAATGGAATAAGTACATCCAATGTCCCCCTCCCTTTCAAAAACGTGATTTCACTACGGAATATCCAAGCAGAGGCTTTCGGCCTCATCATTTTCACTCTCATTCAGACAAACCATGTAGTTTCTAGTGGTAGACAATTATATGGATGAAAATATAGAGGAAAATCATGTCTGTCACTGTAACACCAAACTAACCCGAGTGGAAGCCATACTATTCACACATAACTGAGGCCAATAATTAATTTTTAGTGATATATTGGTAAATGTTATAGGGACACTCCCACACACAAGGAACATTCAAAACCCATAATAAAAAGAAATTCCTGTAGAATATTAACTCATGATAAATAATGACACACCGTGTGAGCAAATGGATTACCACCACCTCTCCCTCACAATGGTTTCAAATTTGCTATTGCAAGAAGCTCCAGAGATTTCTCTAACCTGAAACAAATGGATATCTTAAGTTGATATTTTCATACATAGAGAAGTCTAAAATTGGATTCCCAAACCATGTTAGCTATAATTTTTAGTATTGATATAGATTATTTTCTTCTTCCAGCAACTTGAGAGAAATCATATTGCTCTCAAGATTTATTAGACTTCTCTGGATCAGTGAACTCTGTTTCCAGTTCTCCTATCTCAGCCAGAAGGTCCTTTCAAGTCTCAGCTTTTTAATATTATTAGTCTCTGTGAGAGGACATTAAGATCCCAGCCCTGCATCACTGACTCTTAATCTAAAGTTGCAGTACCAGTCCTCAGAGTGAAGAATCTGGTTTTGAGTCCATTACAGACTGAACAAAGTGGCAGCTGATATCAACTTCATTCGGGAATCTGAGAATTTCTTTCTTTTAGCTGAAAATTTTATTACTTTAAAATCAGAATCCTAGCGGGGCGTGGTGGCACATGCCTATAATTCCAGCATCTCAGGAGGCTGAAGCAGGAGGATCCAGAGTTCGAAGCCAACCTCAACAAAAGTGAGGTGCTAAGCAACTCAGTGACACCCTGTCTTTAAGTCAAATATAAAATAGGGCTGGGGATATGGTTCAGTGGCTGAGTGCCCCTGAGTTCAGTCCCCAGTATCAAAAATAAATAAATAAATAAAATTATATATATGTATATATATATATATATATCAGAATCCTTACATCTGTGTAGTCAGAGGAGAGGTCCATATTAATGCAAGTCCCCAAATCATATTTCTCTTGAGGGAAAATTTCACTTGTCAATCATTAAATAATCTATTTTTATTTTAAGCAATGAAATAATATTGCTAATAAAATATTTGAATAAGTCAATATTTTCTCTCATAAAATTAGTGTTAATCTTAATAGGTCTATTTTTTTCCCTCTTTTGAATGCCCAATCAAATATAAATTCGTAGGAGAGAAACAATATGAACTTCTTATAGAGAAATCAGGTGGTCCTTGTTAAGTCAATGACATTTCTTACTGACCAGGAAGAGAGGAGGGAAGAGGAATAAAAGAGACCCACACGGATAGAGACCCTGGACATGATCTAATTTGACATTCTCAAACTTCACAATAGAGATCACTAAAATAATTGTTTCTCCACTTCGGTAAACTAGATAAGGCTTTAATATTTTTTTTCTCTCTCTCTCTTCCTTTTTGCCAAGAGAAATATCCTTTTCAGCTCAAGCAGAGACTTGAAACATGCCCACGTGACTGGTATTTCTGTGCTGTTTTTCTGCCATTAGTACCTAACACAGAAGAAAGAAGAAGGGGAGGATACCTCAAACAGGACACCTCATTAAATGTGAATTTCAGAGAAACAACAAATACTTTTTAAATGTAAGTATGCTCCATCTACACTGGGACATAGTTATAAAAATTATCTACTGTTTATCTGAAATCCAAACTTAACTGAGAACCTGTATTTTTATTTGCTAAGTAAGGAAACTCAAATTCAAAAAAAAAGTTCCAAACCGACCTGCTGCCTGAAGGCCAGCCTTAATCAGCCAATCTCAGCTGACCTGCAGACACATGACCAAGAAATAAAGACTCATTATTGTGTGTGATGAGAGTTTGTGGTTGTTTGTCATGAAGCAAGAGCTGGCTCATTAAACCTTGTTAGCAATGAGAAACTAGCTTAATACATCAGTCAGTATGCAAAAATAAGCAGATTGTTTTCTACAAAGAAAATAAAAATAGAGTAAATGTCCAAGAGTATGTGCCATGGTTAGTTATATTTTAATGTTTGATAAATTTTCTGGAGAGTTCAGGTTAATAAATTGTAGATTAATACATAAAATGAAGCTAATATGAATAGTATAAACTGGCTTATTCCTGTTAAATTGAAGGATAATACCATTTATTTGTAAGCACGTTTGTTAAACACAGGGTTCTGGGTCAGACATGCTTTGATTTGAATCTAGACTGTGTTTAGGGCTGTGTGACCTTGGGCAAATTAATTAATCTCTTTAAGCTCCAGACTCCTCATCTATAGAATGGAGATAATAATACCTATCTCTATTGATTATTATGATCATTAATCAGATAAGATATTTGAATCATCTGTGACCATCCCTGGGACATATGAAGTACTCAATAAAAGATAACTTGAAGTTCTTGCATAGTAGGCAGGAAAACGGTAGCTGAAATCCATCACTGACAAATGAAACCACCATCCAGGGGAGATAAGATAAACTTGCTTTTACAGGAAGAGACTAGCTTAAAAGAAAATAGAATTCCTCATAAAACTGTGTTATAAGACATAAGGCTCAAAGGATTGCTGGACCAAAAATGACCACAGAAAGTTGGGCATTAATAAAAATGCTGTGTGTAAATAAATCAGGAAAATGTTATCCTTCTATCAAAGCATTTTGCCAAGAACAGTGTCTTTAATTCTAGACACGGTATCTCGGATAATCATCTGTCTATAGTAAAAATCAACTAATATCTTGAAGGAGTCAGGAGGAAATCTTGGCCTGAGGAAAGATGGAGAATGAATTTGATATAGTTCACATCTGGATGTCTTCCAGGGGATCTGAAGTGCAAAATGGGACAGATTCCCTCATGATGACGAAATAAAACAAAAACCCTTGAATCTTGAGACAGGGTGATTTTGGACTAATGACATTTAAAAAGCATTTGAATGAGGTTTTGCAAGATTTCTGCTGTTATTTTTTTTTTTTTTTCCGTTTTGGGATGTAGAATTTAAGTGGGGTTGATTAGAAAGTCTTCTCTTTTTTTAGATTCCCCCAAAGGAAAAATATAGATCTACTTCAGAAACAAGAAACTCATAGATGGAATCCATCAAAAAGCATAATGTTACATGGTGAAGATATTCAGTAACTTAAAAGGAATTACACGAGGGCATGTTTCACAGCTGCACACTTTGAGACTGACATTAGGGAAACTAGTAGTCCAGAAACTCTCTATTGACCTTCCAGAGAGCCAGAGCGCAGGGCTGACCCCACCTGGAAGTCCTGAGACGCTTTCTGGTTCCCTGTCAATGGAGACAAATGCTCCTCTTATCCTCTGCCAGTACCACTTCTAGTGATGCTGCTTAAATAAAGGAAGATGTTTACTACTTGCTTTAATAAAAACCCTGGTACACTGAGCCTGGTAAGCAAAAAAAAAAAAAAAAAAATTCAATGTCAAGGCCACTTACTGATGAATGAGGAGTCTTGGAGCTCAGTCTTCATAATGCAAGCTCACTGTGTGACCTTAGTCAACCCTTACAACCTCCACTCTAAAATGAGGGGGGTGGGGGATAGACCTATACACCCACTACAGCCCCTTCCCAGACTCCACAGATGCAAGGATTAATCCCAAATAAATGACAAAGATAAAAATTGCAATGAATCTTTGCAGCAGGTTTTACAAACAGGGTAGACATTGAGTTCAGATTAAAAGGAGGAGGAGGGCATTCCAGGTGAATGAGGAGACATCAACAACAAGGGTAAGGAAGCCCAGATCCCATTCAGGGGAGAGTGACAAAACCAGTGTGGCAGGATTGCATGTGGTCCATCCTCACATGGAAAACCGCAGGCCTGCCTTTAGGTGAGTCGTGGAAGGAGACATCTGGGAAGCAGATGCCTATTGGTCTGCACTGGAATGATGCTATTAACCTGTTACTGTCGTGTCTCTGTGTAATAATAAGCAAGTCACTGCTTGGGTGATAATCCTGAGCGTCTTTGAAGGGAAGAAATAGATTGCTGGCCTCAGGGCCAAGAGGCAGAGTGATTAGGTATTATCTAGTTTAGAAAACACATTCTTTTCTCTTTAATGGGTTAGAAATATTTCAAAGGCAAATTCATCAGGATTGAATTCATTATCTAAATTTGCTAAAAACAAACAAAAGGCATGAATATTTGTGGTATATATGCATGAATATGTATGAGGTAGGGGTGACCAAAAAAAAAAAATTAGTCAATGCTAACTCCTCACTTCATTGGCCAGAAGATGAATAAGGAATGCTCATGTGTCCAGAAGTCCCACAGCACCTGGCAGGGTATATAAAGGGCCCAGAGAAGGAAGGAGACATCATACTGAGAACCTCCAACTCCTCTCAAGTCCTCAACACCACTCCAGCCCACACTCCACCATGACCGGCTCCTGCTGTGGCTCCTTCTCCTCCCAGAGCTGTGGAGGCTGCTGCCAGCCCTGCTGCTTCCGCGACCCCTGCTGCTGCCGCCCAGTGTCCTGCCAGACCACCGTGTGCCGCCCCGTGACCTGTGTGCCCCGCTACACTCGCACCATCTGTGAGCCCACCGGCCGCCCCATCTGCTGCGACCCCTGTGGCCTGCAGGAAGGCTGCTGCCGCCCCATCACCTGCTGCCCAACGTCCTGCACGTCCGTGGTCTGCAGACCCTGCTGCTGGACCTCCACCAGCTGCCAGCCCATCAGTGTGCAGGCGCCCTGCTGCCGCCCCCACTGCTGCCAGCCTGCTCCCTGCCGCACCATCTGCAGGACCTCCCACTGCAACCCCTGCTGCAACTCCTGCTGCTGAGCCCCTGCTGTCTCCACAGAGCACCAGAGCCTAACCACCTATTGGGCATTTTAATCAAGTTGCAAGAAAATAAAACTTTTTTCAAAGGTGACAACGGTTAGTTTTACATCCTACCATCTGGAGGCAGTCTCATGTAAGCGGATTTTCATCACCACCTTCTGCCCAATTCCCAGGCATCTACCTCAGCCAACGACATCATAGGTGATCAGTCAACCTTTAAATGTTCCCAAAATGGACTCTGCAAACCCATCCTGAACCTGATGGTATGGGCTGCCCGAACCCTCGCCATCATCCTCTGTAATGCATTGCTCACTGTTGTCAATAAACTAATTTTTCCTGGCATAGCAAACCACTCTGCTCCCTGATTCATTCACTAATGCATGCTGATGAGTGAGTGCACACAGACGGACAGGACTTTAGAATCTGTATAAGGAAACTAAAGCTCAACCTAATCGAAACTTTATCCATCCAGATTCCACTTGGTTAGTCAGTCATTCACTGCTACAGAGGACCTTCTTCAATGGCCAGGGACTGCCCATTAGTGATAAGCTAGCCACATTCCGTACACTCCAATGAGTTAGACAATTAAGTAAACCCAGTGTTAGTAAAGAGGAGTGGAAGGAGTGGAAATAGACTATGCGAAGTCCACCGTGGCCACTGGCAGCAAGCTGACCAGCATGGCTCCTGGAGCAGTGGTTTTCAAAGCACAATCTATGCACTTTGAAATCACCCATACCAGAATCTCCTGGGTCACTCATTAAAATGCATATTCTTAGGCTCCAAACTAAACCACTGAATCAAAATCTCTGGGCCTGAAACCCACTAGTGTTCCTCTTTTACTATTATTTCCACGTGATTCTCATACACATTAGAATTTCAGGACCGTGATTCACTCAGAGGAAGATCTAGATTTGAGTTAATTTCAGGGTCTAGAAGTCATCCAAAAACATCCGCCAGAACAAGAAATAATGAACACATTCTCAGTTAAGAAAAAAAAAATGCAGGGCTGGGGATGTGGCTCAAGCGGTAGAGCGCTCGCCTGGCATGCGTGCAGCCCAGGTTGAATCCTCAGCATCACATACAAACAAAGATGTTGTGTCTGCCGAAAACTAAAAAAATAAATATTAAAAAAAAGTTAATTATAAAAAAAAATGCAGACATGAGATTGAAGCAGCACTATTAGGCTGAAATCACAAGGATCAGTTTGGAGGAGAAAATGCCTCTAAATAAAAGTACAAAAGGATGGCCTCTAGAGCCTGCATGGATGGAATCAAAACAATAACAACAAAGAAGACTTGAAGAAAGAAAGAAGAGGGGCTTGAGGACAGATGGGAGAGGGGGAGGGAAAGCAAGGACGAGGAAGCAAGGGAAGAGGAAGAAGCAGAGGAGACAGAGATGGTGAGGAGGACAGGCAGGTGCTTCAGATCCTGGTGCCAGGATCTGAAGGGCACACAGGGACCCCAAGCTAGTCTCTGACGGCTCACATAGGTAGGACCTCTGTGCCTCTGTGGCCTGTCCATTGCTCACCTCTGAGATCCATGCCTCACCATTCACTCCCCACCAAGCTTTGCCTCAAGAAACGCTGAACTTCTCATAGTTTCTGGGCATCTGACATTCCCTGAGGTTTTGATTTTGATTTTGGTTTTTTCATGTTCTTTCATTTATCTCATATATTCTTTTATATACCTGTTCCCTCCACCTTCTTTACTTACCTAACTCTGATCCATTTCCAAGATTCAGATCAGTTATCTCCAGCAGACATGTCTTAAACCTCCTACTGCAAAAACACATGAATACATGTGTGCACACGCACAAACACACACACACACACACACACACACACGTGCACACACACCCTTGTACAAACATCGGCTAGGTTAGGAGCTCCTTGCATGTTCCAGTAGATCTTGAGCTTACCTCTCTCCCCGCAAAGCACTGTATCTAAATTATTCCTCTGCCTTCAAGGAAAGGACTGTGGTTTGTTGATTTGGGTGTTTAGTACTGAGCTCAGAGTTCAGTACACAGCTGGTACTTGATTTCTATTCGTTGAATCAAACTAAATTGGAAGGGAATTGTCTTCACAAAAAGAATTCCAAAAGGTACATTTCTTTAAGCAAAAACTTCAGCAGTCATATAAATTAACTTCTCTGACCCTCAGGTTTTCTATCAGAAAAATGGGAAAATTAATACTTAATCAATGTATATCGCTGGAAAAAGTTAACTGAATCTATGCACATAAAGCACCTGGGGCATCCTAAGTGCCCAGTACCATTCATGTTTAGTTCTCACAGTACATCTGCACATCATTGTATCAAACTGGATTAAAAAGAAAATATGTAACCATTACACATTCAATCTTTCTGAGAGTCAGAAAGAATTAGGAGGAAGATTTTACCAACCACATTTCAACAATCTTTTTTTTTTTTCAATATAATCCACAGCCACTGTTAGAAATAGATTTTTCCAATAAATATAGCAAAAGAGGCCAAAAAATTGACTAGGTATCAGATTAAGGTTGTCTCAGGATGAAAGCAGTCTTTAAGAATTGACTCCATAAATCCATAAGAATGAGTCCTACATTATAAGATTTATAAGCAGGAGCTTATCATCAGAAAAAAAAACAAGAACTGGATATAATACATGAATCTAATAGACAGATTTTTTTCCTTTCACATTGAACCATCCAAGGGAATGAAACAACAAAAAGGAGAAAGAGATCACAAAAGATGACCTGTTTTAGTCTTCCCTGACTTTAGGCAGATGAACACCAAAACCACTGAAAAAAGATGAATATATTTTAATTCCAGGAAAAAAAAATCCACAAATTCCACTACTTCCCTAAGGATTGTTTTTCTGTATTTTCCACCTAAAATAGTTTCTCTTTTTCAGTCAAAGCTATCCATCTCTCTGTCTACCATGTTTGTGTGGATTTTATTATAAACCAGCTCATGAAGAACACCAGGCCCTGAAGACTATGCCCACTTTATAGATGAGGCTAGGAGAATATATGTCATTTGTTCTAAGTTAGACAACCGTTAAATGGTGGAGAAGAATTTGACATTGTCCTTCTGTTCTTTCCCTTCCCTCTTCCTCATCCCCATCTCTGACTCTCATGATTAGGAAATACTTCTACGATTATTTCTGAGAGCGAATTCCCCAGGGAGTGCACATTCTATTTCAACAATTTAGAAGTTCCCTGACATCCAGCAACCTCCAGCAACTTCCAGACACAACAAAACACCGGAGACTATTAAGTTGGCACGTCTCGCTGTCAAAGTCACCATCATTTTTTTTTTTTCAATCAAACACAAAAATTCCACAATAATTATTACTGCTGTTAATATTTAATTACTCCCACTGGTGATAACACTCTTGCAGAATGTGTGGAGCTGGAGTAATATGACTAAAAAAATTCCATGCCATAAGGACCAGGGACACACCTCTTGTCCAACACACGTAGATCTTAATTGTGACAGCAAGGGAGTCCACACAGCAGAGAACCATGGGAAGAGAAACGTCATTATGGGATTCTTTATGTTTTTATTAGTGCATCATAATTAGACAAATAGTGGGGTTCATTTTGACATAAACATAAATGCATATAATACAGTTGGCTCATCCTCAATCCCCAGAACTTCCCCTTTCCCTACCTTCATCCTGCTTCCCTTCCTCTACTCCACTGGTCTTCCTTCTATTTATTTACTCTTTTTCAATTGATGCATTAGCAATATACATAAAAGTGGAATTCGTTGTGATACTTATACATGCATAAAGCAAGTGTTGGCCAATTTCATTCCACAGTGGCTCTTCTCCCTTCCCATCCTCCCTTTCTCTTGACACCCTCCCTCCACTCCACTGTTCCCCATTTAGTTTTCGTGATATTCCCCCCAACATTTTTCCCCTTATTTATTTCCAGGTTCATACATGAGAGGTGACATTCAGCCTTGAACTTTCTGGGTCTGGTTTATTTCACTTGACACAACATTCTCAAGTTCTTTCCATTTGCCAGCAAATGATATAATTTCATTCTTCCCTATGGCTGAATAAGACTCGTGTGTGTGTGTGTGTGTGTGTGTGTGTGTGTGTCCATTCCATTTTTTTTTTATCCATTCATCTCTTGATAGGCACCTAGCCTGGTTCCATAAGTCGGTTTTTGTACAGTACACTGCTATAAACATTGGTATGCATGGACCACTGTAATATGCTGATTTTAGTACTTTGGGATAAATACAAGGAATGGGATAGCAGGATCATATTGTGGCTTCATTTTAACCTTTTGAGGAATTTTCAAAGGCTTTCCAAAGTGATTGTACCCATCAACAATATGTAAGTATTCCTTCCCATCACCCAACACACACCCACATCCTCACCAGCAACTATTGATATTTGTTTTGTACTTTTTTTTTTTCCTTTTGGGTACTGGGGATTGAACCCAAGGGCACTCAACACTGAGTTCCTTTTTATACTTTATTTAGGTACAGGGTCTTGCTAAGTTGCTTAGGATCTTGCTAAGTTGTTGAGGCTGGCTTTGAATCCTCAATCCTCCTGCCTCAGCCTCCAGAGCCACTGGGATCACAGGCAGGCACCACCACACCTGGCTGCTATTTGTGTTCTTGATGATTGCCGGTGTGTCTGGAGTGAGATGATCTCTCAGGATAGTTTTGATTTGCATTTACCTGATTGCTAAAGATTCTGAACATTTTCTAATACGTTTGTTGGCTATTTATGTTTCTTTTGAGAAATGTCTGCATCGATCATTTGCTCCTTTATTGTTGGGAAATTTTGTTTCATGGCTATGAAGGTTTTTTTTAGTTCTTTATATAATCTAGATATTAATTCCCTGTTGGGAGAGTAACTGGGAAATATTTTCTCCCATGCTATAGGATCTCTCTTCATGCTCTTAATAGTTTCATTTGTTGTATAGAGCTTTTTAAAATTTGATTGTACTTATTGACTCTTGGTTTGATTTCTCGAGTTTTAGGGGTCTTCTTAAGGAAGTCTATGCCTGTGCCAATATGTTGGAGTATTAGTCTATACTTTCTTTTAGCAGTTACAGTGTTTCTACTGTGCTGAGAGCCATAGCCGAGTCCGAATGACGCATGCTATTTTTGCCAGAACGGAGTGGTTGAGAGGTGACGCCAGCAAGCCATTGAGATGATAATGGTTATGTTAAGCTGTGTATAGTAGACCCCTGCTTTCCATCGGCCTGCTACTTTGGAGTTCTCGCGGGGATTCCCGGAGAGTTCCCATTGGTTGGGGAAGTGCCCGAGGAGGGATTTCCGGTTGGTGGTTCCTGGAGGAGCCGCGTGGGTGGCGTTCAGGAGAGTTCTGGGGGAGTGTGTGTGGAGCGTGCTGGTGGAGTTCAGAAATAAAGTTTGTTCCTGCTTCAGTGGCTCGTGATTTGTGCCCAGCCAGACGACGACACTACTGTAATCCCTAGGTCTTTGATCCACTTTGAGTTGATTTTTGTATACAGTGAGAGAGAGAAATCTAGTTTCATTTTTTCTACATATTGGTAGCCAGTTTTCCCAACACCATTTGTTAAACAGACTATCTTCTCTTCGATGTATATTTTGGGCATCTTTGTCAAGGATTAGAAGACTGTATGTGAATTTGTCTCTGTGTCTTCCATTTTATTCCACTGGTCTTCATATCCTGTTTTGGTGTCAATAACATGCTGTTTTGTTACTATAGCTCTGTAGTACAGTTTAAGGTCAGGTATTGTGATACCTCCAGACTTGCTTTCCTGCTCAGTATTTCTTTGATTAGTCTGGGTCTTGTATTCTTCCAAATGAATTTTAGGACAATTTTTATTTTCTAATTCTGTGAAGAATATCATTAATATTTTGAAGGGGATGGCACTGAATAGATAGATCACTTTTGGTAATATGGCCACTTTGACAATGTTAATTCTACCTATCCAAAAAACCTGGTAGGTCTTTCCATCTTCTAAGATATTCTTCAATTTCTTTCTTCAGTTTTCTATAATTATCAGTGTAGAGGTCTTTCGCCTCATGGATTAGATTTATTCCCAAGTATTTTTTGAGGCTATTGGGAATGGAATTGTTTTCCTGTTTTCTTTCTCAGCAGATTCATTATTAGTGTATAGAAAAGCTATTGATTTTTTATGTTGATCATGTATCATGTTACTTTGCTTAATTTAATAGCTCTAGAATTCTGGGGTCTTCTGTCTGCAGGATCATTCTTCAGCAGAGATGATTCGACTTCTTTTTTTACCTATTTGCATCCCTGTAATGTCCTTCTTTTGCCTGATTGCTCTGGCTAGAGTTTCAAGAAGTATATTGAATAGCAGTGGTGAGAGTGGACATTCTGGTCTTGTTCCTCAGTTTAGAGGAAATGCTTTCAGTTTTTCTCCATTCAGTATGATGTTGGCTTTGCATTTATCATACATAGTCCTTATTATGTTGAGATAAGTTTTCTTTCCCTAATTTCTCCACTGTTTTTTAACATGAATGGGTGTTGAATTTGGTTGAAGGCTGTATATGCATCTATTGAAATGTTCATGTAATTTTTCTCCTTAATTTTATTTATGTGGTAGATGACATTGATTTATTTGTGTATATTGAACCAACCTTGCATTCATGGGATGAAAACAATTTGCTTAAGTAATTGTTTTTAATGTTTTGTTGAATGCTGATTGCTAATATTTTATTAAGAAATTTCACATCAATGTTCATTATGGATACTGGTCTGATGTTTTCTTTCCTGGATATATCTTTATCTTGTTTGATATAGGGTGATAACACTGGCATCATAGAATGAATTTGAGAATGTTCCCTTTCTTTTCACTTCATGGAATAATTTGAGGAGGATTGGCAGTAGTTATTCTTTAAAGAACTAGTAGAACTCTGCTGAGAATTCATCTGGTCCCAGATTTTTCTCTGTTAGAAGGCTTTTTATTATTGTTTCAATCTTATTGCTTGATATTTTTCTGCTTAGCTTTTCCATATCCTCTTGGTTCAATGTAGATAGATCACGTGTATCCAAAAATTTGTCAATATCTTCTAGACTTTCCAATTTATTGGAATATGTTTTCAAATAGTTCCTAATTACCTCTGGATTTCAAAAATGTCTGTGATGATATCTTTCTTTTCATCTCTAATTTTGTTAATTTGGATCTTCTTTTTCTTTTGGTTAGTTTGGCTAAGAGTTTGTCAAACTTACTTATATTTTCAAAGAACCACTCTTTATTGCAAAGATCTTTGGAGAAATCATTTAACCAACCTGGTCTTCCAAAAAATGTGAAGGATCATAAACTCAGAGACCTCAAGAATCAGGGATATGGTGAATGAAAATAAGCACATAAAACAAAACACACCTCAGAGGCAAATTTAGCCTGAAGACTATCAGCCAAATTGGGACAATGCTATCTTTTATCTCCTTTATTTTCTAGATCCTCATTCTTCTTAGCTATGCCTTTAAAAGACAAAGCTGTTTATCAGCCAAGAGTCCACTTAATTCCCCTTGTCTTTTTTTTTTGTCTTTTTTTATAACCATACCTTCATACCTCATATGCAACTAAAACCTCAGCCAACAGCCAGTGTCTACTACAGAACGATAATAAATTCATGAATAAGTTAGTGGAGAGGGCTTATGTCCCATCTGGAAAGCAAGAATAACTCCAATTTTAATTGTATATCCAAGACTATAATCAGGAAATGGCATTCAAAAGACAGTATAAATAAAATCTTCGTTTCACTTGACCTTATTGATCCATGAAAAGTTCTTCTCCTCTGTTTACTTTATCTACTTTTGTATTGCCTTTTTAATATTTGTGATTAGTACATGATAGGAAACTATTCAGAATTCACTCTATTTCTCTTTCTCTACCAGGAAAGAGTTTAGCACTGTTTACATGAGTTGATTATGAATTAGAGACCTACTCACATTATTTGTTTTTCAAATCACACTAGTATTTTTGGTGATAGTTTCCTTATAAACAAGGAGAAGTAATATGTTCCTTGACAAAAACACAGGATCATTTTTCCCATAGGTGAACAAATACACATCTCCTTTTATGAGTCATTCTGCCTTTTAGAAAATTGCCCCTTGTCTCAGAGTCAACCAGAAACCAGGCCTGTGATTCATGAACAGCCTCATCACCGATGGTGAACAAGAGGAAAGTGTGGTGTGACAGCACTAGGTCCTTCAAACTTTCAACCAGTCACATGACCTGGTCTGGAAGGATTGGCTGATGGCTAAGCAATTTTTCTGATGATACAAATCATTAAATATTCATTTCAAGGAAAAAGGCAGACAGGTGGAAAGCCAGGCTGGAACTGCTGCTTCAGGAACTGCTGCTTCAGGAACTGAATCCAGAGTTCTTGTTTCAGTGGGCAACCACAACTCCAGGAAATGTCCTTGTATCCCGAGGGCCATCAGCACCTGGCCAGGGTATATAAAGCACACAAAATGGGAGGAAGATATCACACCTGAGAACACCCAACTCCTCTCAAGTCCTCAGCTCCACTCCAATCCCCACTCCACCATGACCGGCTCTTGCTGTGACTCCTGCTGTGGCTCCTGCTCCTCCCAAAGCTGCGGAGGCTGCTGCCAGCCCTGCTGCTGCCAGCCCTGCTGCTTCCGCGACCCCTGCTGCTGCCGCCCAGTGTCCTGCCAGACCACCGTGTGCCGCCCAGTGACCTGTGTGCCCCGCTACACGCGCACCATCTGTGAGCCCACCGGCCGCCCCATCTGCTGCGACCCCTGTGGCCTGCAGGAAGGCTGCTGCCGCCCCATCACCTGCTGCCCAACGTCCTGCACGTCCGTGGTCTGCAGACCCTGCTGCTGGGCCTCCACCAACTGCCAGATCATCAGTGTGCAGGCGCCCTGCTGCCGCCCCCACTGCTGCCAGCCTGCGCCCTGCCGCACCATCTGCAGGACCTCCAGCTGCAACCCCTGCTGCAACTCCTGCTGCTGAGCTGCCCAACACATAACGTCAACAGGTGTGAAGAAAAATGCACCAACTCTCGCCACTCCTGCAGGATCAGAGGAGAGATGCAGCCTTCCCAACCATCTGTTCTTCAACCCCTAGCTCAACAGTAACTGCCTAGTTTCCTACATAATTATGCAGCAAATCCTGGCCCTCTTCACAAGCTTTGGAAAAATCTCAGCTGTCAACATTTGAATTCCTGGATATTTTTTTAAAAATGCATAAACAAAGATCAAAGTTTCTCTTGAATGAAGCTCTAACCCACTGACTCATCATCTTTTTTCCACTATCTCAAGGGTCTCAGATGGGGTATTGTTTTTTTCCAGGATATTATTTTTATGCTGTGAATTTTGCATGGTTCAAAATAAATAAAATTTTATTTCTGGGGAAGCAAATATGTTTGTTTTTATTGTTCTTAATCTTCAAAAGCTCCTTTTGAAAAAGAAAGGATTTTGTGCTATATACAACATAGGAACAGTTCAGGGGCAAGGTCTGTAATGATAATAGTGAATGGAGTCATTCAGATCATTTCATGTGCTGTACTTCCATCTTCCAATACAACAAATTTTGTGGAAACCATGGCACTACAGCAGGTCTCTGATGGTGAATGTGACTCATAAATGATTTATACACATGATAAGGGGAAGGAAGCTTAAGGTACAGTTCCACTTGCTTCCCCAGTATAGAAAATTGTGCAGTGATGGATGTCAAATAGTACTTGGAAACCCCGACCCCTGAATGCCCTAAGCTGAAGCACCCACTCTCCCATTCTCTCCATGGCTCTCACAGCACCTCCACGGCCAACTCTGCTTCCAGTAAATTGCTGCTGCTGAGAAAAGAGGGACATATATAGCTTTGGATGGAAACATCCTGATTATGAACTTGACATACATTTTACTCTTTAAAAAATAGCACTGTGCAGGTATTAATCCACATTGGATACGGTTTTGTTGTTAGACACACGTTTAGCTTGGCAAGGACGACTAATCATGATTGTTCCCCTGAGATCAATGTTTTTTGAGCTCCCCACATCTAAAATGAAAGAGTTTGGGGAATGTGCTGTTCGTACGCTTAGGCAAACATCCTGCCTGTTGAAGACTCAAGCGAGTAAGCTCTGGGATCAGGGATCTTGATTGAATTTGTCTGCTACCAGATTCCACTGACCTGCACAATATTTGGCACATAAAAGATATTTGGGGATTATTTGTTGAAGAAATACATATTAAGGGTGTCAGAGGAGTAAAAGGCATGACACCCCATGCCAACTCTTGTTTCATTTTGGACATAGGCATTCTTACAATTATACAGTAAGTCACCTCATGTAGAAAGTTTTTTTTTTTTAAATGTGGTAAAAGTTTATCAATGAGAAGCCTACTGTACTCAAAATATTTACATTTTTAGTAGGGCGTTTTCTCTTTTTTTTTTTTTTAAAGAGAGAGTGAGAGAGGGGAGAGAGAGAATTTTTAATATTTATTTTTTAGTTCTCGACGGACACAACATCTTTGTTGGTATGTGGTGCTGAGGATCGAACCCGGGCCGCACGCATGCCAGACGAGCGCGCTACCGCTTGAGCCACATCCCCAGGCCGCGTTTTCTCTTTATTAAGGGTCTAATAGTTCACCAGTGGATAGGCTTACAAATCAAATTTCTTTCTACATGTTCTTGATCGGCGTTTTTAAAATTCTCTAACTATACTTGTTTTCCTCCTCTCAGATTTTTCCTTCTTGGGCTTTTAGAGACTTCCTTACCTTAGAGTGCTTTCTCAGACAATGCTTTGTTTTCTCCCAAACTCATCTTTATTATTGAATTTTTTTCCATGATAACCCCATGCCCTGGTCAACCACAGTGTCTGGTGGAAGTGCCAGTAAGCCTGTCAGGGACTGTGAAAGCAACATGGTCCTGAAGAAGGAAAAAACATGAACCTCCAAGCCCGTATCTAGCTGTAGAGAAAAAAAAAAAAAATGTCAGATCCAAACAAATCAAGATGTAAAGTCTACCAAGTGGTTCATGGAATATTTTCCTACAAGTCCTGACAGTTTGAAACAATAGAAAATCATAGCTAGTTTTGTAAGCAGAAATGAGCTCAAACCTCACACCCAAGGAGGTATTGGAGACACTGGGTATAGATAGACAAGATGGGGGCTGAGATCACTTTCACCTGGGGTCACTACCCAGACGTTTTCTCACATTGGAAGATGGCAACCTGCACCTGAATTAACTCAGGTTCTTTGATTTTGGCTTTATATTGGTGGCTTTGCTATTAGTGCCCCAGGACTATTTAAATTATGTCCTACTATACTATCTCATTAGGGCGTGTTTTAGAATTTTCAGAAGGCTGAGCAGCAGATAATTCTTCCAATTCCTGAGGATATCAGTAACACATAGTCTTTTCAGATGACTCTAAAAATTAGTCATATATCACAAATAACAACTGCATTAAAATAAATACACTATTAAAATTCTTAAATAACTCAGACATTTCTTAACACCTGGGAATGTGGTTCCCACCTCTTACTATTCAGCTCTGTGGGCTTACAATGATTCTGTAGATATTTCTGGAATAAGCATTGGCTCAAACACTAACAGGATACATGCAAGTCACTTATGTAATTCCTGAGATGGGAAATAATGCCAGCCTAAAAGGAATGTTATGAAGAATAAACTAACACATGTGTTTCATGAAGCATGATGCTTGAAACATAGTTAAAACTCAATGCTATTCAATGAAGATTGTAAATAATAAAATTCACATTGAGACCTCAAAAAAATTATTTTTGATAATTTGGATGAAATGAACAAATTCCTTGAAAAAAAATGCAACTTTCCAAAACTGACAGGAAAAAAAGAAACAAAGAAAGACAGAATATCCAATATGCAATAAATAAATTGAATCTATCATTTGATAACCTGGGGTGGGGTGAAAAAAAAAAGAAATTCACCTTGTTTTGGAAAGATTTAAACCCAGAAATCAGTGAGCATGTTTCTAAGACAAAAACTACTGATGACACAGGACTAATGCTCCAAAAGTAGATAGAAAAATTCTTCTCTTACTGGGGGAAAAAAAAAAAAAAAAACTTGGCTTTTAAAATATTTCTATAGTATTATTCTCAACTTGTTTCCCCAGAAAGCTTGCAGTAGAAAAGAATGCTCAAAACTTAATTCATTAACTTCCACTGTTAGTAACCCTAAGGGTATGACAGCTACTTCCTGCTATCAAAACATCAACGGGCAAAAGCATCATCAAATTCAAAAGATAATTGGAGACTTTGAAGTTACAGTCATTAAGTTCCTATGTGAACTATAAACAGCAAAATATAATGAATCTCCATTAAAGAAGGGAAACAAATAGAATTTTATGACTACCCAAACACCTAAAAAAATGTCTAGAGAACTTATTCAGAAGAAATACACAAAAACAAAGAAATGATCATGTGCCCTGGGGTCATGAGCACCTGGCAGGGTATATAAAGGGCCCAGAGAAGGAAGAAGACATCACACTGAGAACCTCCAACTCCTCTCAAGTCCTCAACACCACTCCAGCCCACACTCCACCATGACCGGCTCCTGCTGTGGCTCCTTCTCCTCCCAGAGCTGTGGAGGCTGCTGCCAGCCCTGCTGCTTCCGCGACCCCTGCTGCTGCCGCCCAGTGTCCTGCCAGACCACCGTGTGCCGCCCCGTGACCTGTGTGCCCCGCTACACGCGCACCATCTGTGAGCCCACCGGCCGCCCCATCTGCTGCGACCCCTGTGGCCTGCAGGAAGGCTGCTGCCGCTCTTTGCGCTTGTGCCCAACGTCCTGCACGGCCGTGGTCTGCAGACCCTGCTGCTGGACCTCCACCAGCTGCCAGCCCATCAGTGTGCAGGCGCCCTGCTGCCGCCCTCACTGCTGCCAGCCTGCTCCCTGCCGCACCATCTGCAGGACCTCCCACTGCAACCCCTGCTGCTGAGAGCCTATTATAACTAAGGGAGCCTCGGGGATGGCTGGGTCTATCCTGTAGCCCTTTGGGGCATCGTGAGAAACCACTCTGCATTTTCCTGAGAAGCCCATCCCTCCTCTTTTCCTACTAGCTCTGGCTATGTCTGGAAGACACTTTTCAGACCAAGTACTGATGAAGACTCCTCTGTCCTCTTTGGACCCTCACCTAACTCCTATATCACGTTGTCTGTTTCTAATAAACTGAATACTTTCAGCATGGAATCATGGTCTTTATAATACTTCCTTCTGCTAGATTGTCATCATCCAGAGATTTTCAAGGCACCATGCAGAATAATTCTCTGAATTTGTTTTCTGAAACAGTCTGAGTAGTTTTTTCCTAATTATGGTACGTGGCAAGTACAGAGCATTGTAGCTGATGAGGAAGATTGAAGTGACCAGTATTCCAGGATCAGCCACCTGAGAATTGTCCTCCATTGGAGGACATTAGGAGGCCACATCTGGGTTGACACTTAATTTCTGGCCTGAGGGTTTGTTTACTGAACTGATCCCTATTGGTACACCACAAAGGCCCGGCAGCTTAGAGAAGGAAGGAATCTTGATATTCTTTTTTCTTTGTGCCCAAGTGTAAATGCTATCCTGGATAAAGAATCTCCTTTTGTGTGTTTGAGATTTGAGAATGTCATTGACAACCCCAAGACTCTTGTGAATACTATGTCTGCACATGCTGTCTGGGGCTATTTGCCTTTATGTTCAGAAATTCCACATAAGTGGTATTTTCCAAGAAAATTAATCAAGGATGTCCATCTACACATGTTTATTGAATATCTTTTATGAATGTGGCACTAAGTTCACCACCCCGAGGGGACACAAAGGAATAAAATGGTGTCCCAGATTCAAAGATGTTATAGTCTATTTGGAGAGATGAGGTATAAATAAGAAAAACGTCAAATAATGTATAATATAAACAATTAAATAAAAATAGTTTTAAATAAAAATATTTTTATAAATTAAAAATAGTAAAAAAAACAGTTGAAAATTATAAGCATATTAGGAAAAACATGCAATTGCTTCTCACATATATATTTAAGCGAAAAAATAAACAAGCTATAAAGTATAAAACCACATTGTGAAGGAAATTTTTGTTGCATGTCTATATGTGTGTATGCAGGAAAAATTACCTGTAACAGCCAGGTGTGTGGCGGCACATGCCTATAGTCCCAGCTACTCAGGAGGCTGAGACAGGAGAATCATAAGTTTGAAGCCAGCCAGGGCAACTTATTGAGACCCTGTTTCAAAAAATAAAAAGGGCTGGGGATTTAGTTCAGTAGTAGAGCAGCTGAGGTTTAATCCTCAGTACTGAAAAAAAAATTGTGGCATTATATAACAAAATCTAACCATAGTTTATGATAGCACTCATTTTCTTTTTTAGATTTTTCTTAATTATATAATTATTGCCTAACAGCTATAACTATTTGGGGAAAAATATTTAAACATTTCCCTTGACTATGCTTTACTTTGAAAAACTTACCTATCAAAATCTAAATGGACTTAAAGGAGATAAATTAGACAGCTAATAAATTTTGTATTCATTACTAATAAATTTTCTTTGTTTAACAGAAAAGCATATCACTATGTTATTTGTAGTTGGACTTCTCTGATGTCTTCAAAATGTGACCAAATTATTAAATCTTGAGTTTATCTTTTATCATTTTATGATCATCTCCACTATAGAAATCATAATGCTCTTTTGTTGTGCTCCAAAATAAGTATTTTTAAAAGTTGCTAACTATTCACCTTAAATATACAATTGTTTTTATCTGTTTGTACAGGCAACCAAGAATCTAGATCACTAGATGATATTTTTCAAATTAAAATTTATTTTAATGTTATTGTTGGATATAATTATTTAAAAATTCCTAGGATTTGTTATGACAAAAATCTCTTCAAATCTAGAACACATTTTGCACATTAAAATGTATTCATAATGTGATAGTTAATTAACAAAGCCCTATGATTTGTTATGACAAAAATATCTTCTACTACCACCAGCAATCTGTCTAAATTTGTTTTGCTTTTTTTTAAAAAAAAAAAAAAAAAAGATTTTTGTCCCTAAGATGTCACCCTCCATTGCTGGGCTGTGGAGTTTTCAGTAAAGCTTATATTCTTTTTTTTTAATTGATTTTTTTAAAAAAATAAATGACAGCAGAATATATTACAATTCTTATTACACATATACAGCACAATTTTTCATATTTCTGGTTGTATATAAAGTATGTTGACACCAATGTGTGTCTTCATACATGTACTTTGGATAATGGTGTCCATCATATTTCACCATCCTTGCTAACCCCCCCTGCCCCCTCTCTTCCACTCCCACACCTCTGCCCTATCTAGAATTCGTTATTCTATCCATGGTTCTGATATCTGTGTTTCCTGTTATCAAAATAATAACCTGATTCCACTTAGCAGAGATTGACAGAGAACTCTATATCTGCCTTTCAGTTATTTTAGTTTTACTTTGTGCTAGTAATGAAACGTGTCAGTGAATAATCTTATTGAATGTGTATTTCTATAGTGACTGAGAAGACAACTGGTCATTTGCCATATTAAGCACGTTGGGTTTTGTTCTAAATGCAAAATTTAGAGTTTATTAGGCACAAAAAGGATGTGGCCTTTTAAATTACTTTTTTAATTTGATAAATATAAGACACTGTCAGTCACTTCTTAGTTCTTGGCAAGTATTAGCTCATTTAATCCTCATGACAATCCTGACATGTACTTGGGTCTTTATTATATGACCCAAGAACACACAGCCAGCATGTAGCATGGTTCAAATGAGTGTTGCCTGGTTGTAGTGGTCTCAGAAAGTAACAGCTGACTTGCCGCCAGTGTCAAAGCACAATGCCCACCTCCCTCACAATGCCCACCACCCTATAGTGTGGACACTGGGAACATGAGCCCCATGTTCTCTGCCTGAAAATGAATCTTGGTCCTCAGTGGGAAAAATGTGTTAAGGGAGTAAACACTGGGACTGTTTACTGAGTGACTCTCAGATTCTCGATCCTTGTGGATCTTCATATTTGGGAAAGAAAAATCTCTTTGGAACGACATTAGATGAGAATTATTTGCAATAGAGAAATTAGCCCTGTTAACTTTATGTGTTGTCTGAAGAGGTTCCCATGGGGTGGGGGGTGGGGGGTTGGTCTTCATAAAAACTCCAGAGCAACATGAAAACTGATTATGAGGTATTGTGTCCTGAAAAGAACAGAATATATAACTTTTAATCTAGGTTACTATTTCAAAAAATATAAAAAAGTTCATGAATGAAGGCAAGAATGTGAAGCGTGAACTTCAAAGGTCATTAGCAATGAGACTGCCTGATTTCTCCCTCCTCCTTCTCCTCAACTGTGGAATGTGTTCGGTCAACTTACATTCCTTTAAAAAATCTGAAATTCCATTTGGGAAACTTTAGATCCTGGGGCTTAAGCTACATTCTTTTGAATGGTGGAAATGCTCCTAAAGTGATCCAAATGCTATCTGGCAAATAATAGGAAGGTTCAAGCTGGAAAGTAGAGATTGCCCTGTCATGCACTCCTTACACTGCCCCTACTGATGTTTCCTAAAGAAGTATGGTCATCACATTTCGAGCAGGGCCACAGCGGAATGACTGGGTGGCAACATCCCACCTGCCTCCCCTCAACAGTGTATTGTATAATATGTTTGCAAAGTAGGATGAGAAAACCTCCAAAATGTCACTTGGTAGTCATAACACCCATGTCAAGGTGTAGGAAGCAAAACCTTCCCATGATACAACTCTTATGTTGTAAAAGGCAAATATATATATTTAAAAAATGTCATATGGTGGAGATAAAAATCAATAAACAATGTCATGTTGTGGAGATAAAAATCAATACCTGTGACAGAAAAACCAGAACTACACATAGCCTACACTGAAGAAAAGAAAAAAAAATACATAAGTCTCAGATCTCTTATTTCAAAAAATAAACATTTGCTTTTCTGTATAGGAGCTCCCATCCTATACATATTCTTCTATATAAAATGATAAACAAATATATCCCCCAAGGAATTGCATGGAAGGATGTGTCTAACATCTGTCTGATTCACAGACAAGTGTTTTCAGATAACCTGCTGGAGAACAGGTATCTAGTCAATGTTCTGTGTATTCCTCTATTCCATTTATTTTAATAAAATGAGGTTCCTTGGGACCATTTTATCCAGGTTTCATTGGGTCCTACCTCCTCACAATAAGCAACAATCAAGAGAGGGAGATAAGGAAAGATGTTGGTTAAAACGTATAAAGTCACAGCCTGAGAAGAAAATTAAGTTCTGGTACTCCATTCAACTGAAGATAGATATAGTTAATAGTATTGCATTATGTGATTAAAAATAGTTGGAAGAGAGGATTTTTGAATTTCTCATCACAAACAAATGGTGAATGTCTGAGATATGAATAGCCTGTCTTCTGGATTGATCAATACACAATGTAAAAATGTACCAAAGCATCATACTATGCTCCCCATAAAGATACACAATCATCTATCAATTAAAAGGGAGCGGCCATCATCCCAAATGGCTATGAATGCTTAGGTTTTCATGATGAACAGTGTGAATGCATTTAGAGATGCAACAAGAATTCTTCAATGAGATCATGAGTATGTCACAAGGAACCATTAGTCAAAAAAATGTCCACTTAATTGGTCAAAAGACAAACAAGAGGGTCATCAGCACCTGGCTAGGGTATATAAAGGGCCCAGAGAAGGAAAAAGCCATCACACCTGAGAACCTCCAACTCCTCCAACCACTCCAGCCCACACTCCACCATGACTGGCTCCTGCTGTGGCTCCTTCTCCTCCCAGAGCTGTGGAGGCTGCTGCCAGCCCTGCTGCTTCCGCGACCCCTGCTGCTGCCGCCCAGTGTCCTGCCAGACCACCGTGTGCCGCCCCGTGACCTGTGTGCCCCGCTACACGCGCACCATCTGTGAGCCCACCGGCCGCCCCATCTGCTGCGACCCCTGTGGCCTGCAGGAAGGCTGCTGCCGCCCCATCACCTGCTGCCCAACGTCCTGCACGGCCGTGGTCTGCAGACCCTGCTGCTGGACCTCCACCAGCTGCCAGCCCATCAGTGTGCAGGCGCCCTGCTGCCGCCCCCACTGCTGCCAGCCTGCTCCCTGCCGCACCATCTGCAGGACCTCCCACTGCAACCCCTGCTGCTAAGAAGTGAGCTGACTCCCAAGCAAGCCATCAACCTTCTGATACTTGAATTTCCATTTCTGTACCTAACACACTCCTGACCTGAGCCACCAAGACCCTAAACCAACCTGCCTGCGAAAGGAGACCTGAACTCATCTCTTAAGACCCTTGGGATGGTCTCAAGTCTCTGAATAGAAGTAATGTCCTTATTTCCATCTTGGATCTAAGGTCTTGGGGGATGTTTATTTTCTAATAAACTTGACTTCTTTGACTTCGCAAATGCCGGCTTTGGTTTTATTTACTAATGCTAAATGTTACATTAAATTTCAACTCAGTGAAAACTGTGCTGGTTGCCTACCATCTGCATGGTATACCAAAGACATTAAAACTGACCTAAAAATGTTCCCCTCTCTTTAAAACATTTCTATGGGGATGAGTGAAATCCACCATAATTTGACAAAAGAGTATAGTATGAAAAAATAAAAGTAAAAGATACTACACAGTATCACCAGATAAGTCACTGTTGATTGGAGAAAACAAGAAAGATGAAAGAAGCTAGAATTTTCTATGAGTTAAGGTTCTGGCATCCAGGAAGGGCACCAAAATTATGGGCAAAATTACAGAGGAAGGTACCATAGAGTTGTGCAGAGGAAAGTCAGGCTAGGAACACTGGATATATGTAGAGTGATAGTATAAGAAAAAATTGAAAAAATGTGTATGATTTACATATTAGTCAAAGGAGTGGGTAAGCAAACACTAAGGGGCTGTTGAAAGCTTTGGGGCAGGAATTGACATGATAGTATGATGTCTGTGGAAGCTCCTTAAAATGACAGAGATCAAGTCCACAGATTTAAAAAAAAACATACAGAAACTAATCAGGAGGCTGTTGCATTGGCACAAGTGACGTAAGCTGAATTAAGATGATGGCTGTGAATTAAGAACACATGATGAATATGACAGATTGGAAGCCCAGAAAGCAAATTCACTAAGTTGGATACAGGAAACATGGAACGATTAGGGAACCAAATGTGATATGTTGCATTTCTGAGGGAAACTCTTCTGGTCTGCAAAAAAAATAATTTTAACATATTTGCATTTATTTACTATGAATTTAAAATCACTGCTCCACAATATATTCTTCCCACCATCCCATATTTTTCCTCTTGAGCTATTCTAAAATATTCAAAATAAAAGCAGGAGACACGGAGTTTTACTAATGCTAATTAATCCTGGAAATCAGCATGGCATAAAGAAAAAAGAAGTGGTCTAAGAAAGAGCGGGTAGGAATTTTATACCCAACTCTTCTGGCTACAGGCTGTAGCAATGAAGAAAGTCATTCAACTTTTCCAAAATGTATTTATTCCCAGACTCAACAGTATTCTAGCATAAACTAAAAAATAAAGTAGAAGTGGTCCATACCACAACAGCAGTGTTCCAATTTAGAACTCTGATGCCATATGGTTGACACATTTTCTTGATTAATGCTTCCTATTGATACCACACTGGTTTTGTGCACTAGAGCAAGATATGAGTCAGACAAATAAGATCTTGTGTTCTTTGCAAATCCTCAGTGCTCTGTGAATAGTAAAATTAAACAAACATGCTATTTATATTAAGAATGATGTCAGGCTGGGCATGGTGATACATGCCTATAATCCCATCAGCTCAGGAGGCTGAGGAAGGAAGATCATGAGTTCAAAGCCTCAGCAATGGCAAGGCACTAAGCAGCTGAGTGAGACCCTGTCTCTAAATAAAATACAAAATAGGGCTGGGGCTGGGGATGTGTCTGAGTGGTCAAGTGCCCCTGAGTTCAATCCCTGGTCTTCCCCCAAACAAATAAAACAGATGTCAGTTTCTACACCTACAATATTAAGAGGTTGGAAATGATGATTTATTTATCTTTAACCTCCACTATTCAATGATTACATGTAATCATACCTACTGACATGGTTACCATAATATGAACTGGCATGAATCATATTCCACTGTAATTCTATTTAATATACAAACTGATATCTCATAAAAACTTGTGTGCTTATACTTATTATTGGAAGGAAAGAATAAACGTATCACAGGTAGCAACATGTTTTCTTGGTCAACACTTTTTTTCATGTAACCCTAAACAGTGAAAAGCCATGTTCTTTTTTTGGCAACTACCAGGAGTTGCTTAAACTTTTGCTAAAATTTGCCTTTTTGTTTTTTAAATATTATTACCAAATAATAAAGTCTACCATAAGAAACTATAAAGCAGCTGAAATTTGTTCTAAAGCTTTTGAATTTATAAACTATTTAAGTACGATTGATCATTCATTTCCTAAACTGCCTTCTGTTGTGATCTAGAAAAAAAGAAAAGAAAAAACTTTTTTCTTTCTTTGTTTCCTTTTCATAAGTCCAACTGCATTGCTCTTTGGTCCAATATCATTTTATAAAACACATGTGTAGTAACATAAAGTGACCTAAACTGAAAGTAAATCCTGCTTTTGAGAAATAAATGCATCTAAACAATCCATATAGCAATGATGTTCACCTTTTGTGGAGCTTTTAATAAACTTCTCTACAAATATTTGGTGATTTTTCACAGTCATTCAATATTAATTTTATCCTATTTCTTATTAAATTGGAATGGAATAGCTTTGTTCCATCCACCCTCTTGAGTTATAGATGTTTTCTCAAGTATGACAGTCTGAAGTTTAGGAGAGATCACAGAAATTGAAAGGATGCAATATCTAAAGTGATCTATGAATTTCTATGAATGTGGAGTTGATCAGAGTTTCTGCCTAGCTTATTGTAGAAACTATAATCTTACCAACCTAAAAATATAAATATAGCCTTTATCTAAGTTGCGTGACATGAAGGCACTCCTTGATTAATAGTTCTTTTCTGGAAATTTTAGTTCTGGTGAATATGATCTCAAAGTCACAACATCGTATAGGTAAGAGTCACCTTGTCAGATGCCACAACCACAAGCACAAAACCAGTTCTGAGGTTTGAATGGAAATTACGGCATTGTTTGAAAATGAAACATCAACATTGCCACCAAGGACGAACACATTTTGTGAACATTAGCTGAGCAATAAGGAAAAACCTATTTGGAGTTATGTTTAAAGCAACTCAGCATTTGAATAATCAGAGGGCCCTTAAAAAACTGGTTTAAAGACTAATAAGATAAAAATGTCGTCACAAACGGAGGACTGGCCAAGGCTTATAAAAAGCCCGAGGTGGAATAAGAAGCCATAACTCAGAAACATCTTTTGCAACACAACTCTCAACCTGACTCCTGACACCATGGCCTGCTGCTCCACCAGCTTCTGCGGATTCCCCAGCTGCTCCACCAGTGGGAACTGTGGCGCCAGCTGCTGCCGCCCCAACTGCTGCCAGACCGGCTGCTGCCAGCCCAGCAGCTGCCAGGATAGCTGCTCCCAGCCCAGCTGCTGCCAGACCAGCTGCTGCCAACCCAGCTGCTGCCAGACCAGCTGCTGTGGCTCTGGCTATGGCTCTGGGAGTGGAATTGGAGGTGGCCAGGGCGGAGCCCTGAGCTGCCGCACCAGGTGGTGCCGCCCAGACTGCCGCGTGGAGGGCACCTGCCTGCCACCCTGCTGCGTGGCAAGCTGCACACCCCCCACCTGCTGCCAGCTGCACCATGCCCAGGCCTCCTGCTGTCGCCCATCCTACTGTGGACAGTCCTGCTGCCGCCCAGCCTGCTGCTGCTACAGCTGCCCACCACCCAACTGCTGTGAGCCCACCTGTTAAAACTTCCTTCTGAGAAGAATATCAAGAAGATGGCACTTCAAACTAACCAATGTAGAGTTCCAACAAATTTCTGAACTCCAATACCCATAACCCAGCTCACAACTCCTTGTCACACAGGTACATGATTTCCCTAGGAGGTAGAATCATTTTCGGTGGAAGATCAAAAACTTTTCATAGACCTTAGCATCAACAGAAGTCCTACAATCTGAAAAGGGATGTGTGATATTTTACTATAAATGTCATTTAAATTGTTTCAACAGCTTCTTGGGACTAGAATTTAATAAAAGCCATCTTTTCAATAATGAGTCGTTGTTAGAACTTTATTTTCTTTGGAATCTGTTAAATATGGGTTTTTTCAAAATCTCTACAAAGCTCTATAGTTTTTCTTTATTTTTATTCTTTTCATAACGATCTTTGAAAGTGGTTTTTGTTTTATTTTGTTTTGCTAGTAAATGGCCCAATATTCTTCAGCCAAAGTATACAGTTAAAAGAACCCAATGCATTTATGTAGAATAAATAAATAAATACACAATAATAATAAGCAACTATTTCCCAACACCCTCACATGTACAAAGTGGTGAGCTCAGTATTAGAAAAGATCAGTTTTGCAAAAAAGGAAGTTCTTGTGATTCAGCTTTTTGAGGTGCTGCTAAACCCATCCATGCATCCATTTGAGTTGGTGTATAATTCTTTCAATATCAAAGGTATACAAAAGCAAATGCAAACTGGGGAAGATCATAAACACAAGGTTGTAAAACATCACCATAAGATGTAGAGGCATCCTGATTTCTAGTCCCAGCTTTGTAAACTAACAATCCCTGATTTCCTTTTTCTTTGTTGTTCATTCGTTTTGGTACCGGGGATTAGACTCAGGGACACTATACCGTTGAGCTATATCTTTTTTAAGCTTTATTTTGAGAAAGAGTCTTGCAAAAGTGTCCAGGCTGGCCTTGAACTTTTTATCATCCTGCCTCAGCCTCATGAGTAGCTGGGATTACAGGTGTGCTGTCCCTGCCCCCAGTTCAATTCATGACTTCTTGGGCAAGTCACTCCACTTACCAGGACAACCACTTCTTCCACTTCTTTTTTATTTTTTATCTCTTAGGGGTATATATTAATTATACAGACTAATGAGTCTCATTGTGGCATATTTGTACATATATGTGTATGTGTGTGTGTGTGTGTGTGTGTGTGTGTGTGTGTGTGTATATATATATATATATATAAAATAATTCAATCAGTTGAACTTCCCGTGACCTCCATGAATTCTCTCCCTCTCACCCCTTTCTCTACCCCCGTGATCTACCTTCCATTTTCACATCATTTCTTTTCTTTTTCTTTTTCCTTATAGATTCCAAATGAGAGGAAACACACGACACTTGTTTTTCTGAGTCTGACTTATTTCAACTTAGCATACACAAATAGATAACTTCCTAAACAGGTGGCACACCGTCAATCCCTTCAGATGTCCCAAGGGGAAAAAAATGTTCAATGATCAAACAATATTCCATGCTTCATCACCATCTTTGAGCTTTATAAAGTACATTAAACTATATAGTACATATATTTAATATACACAAAGCATATTAGACTATATTGTATGTAATAAATACCATATTATAAAGTTTTATATATATTTAATACATTAATACATATTTAATACAAATTTATAAGTATTAATACATTTAACACATACAATACATATATAATATATGTAATATAATAATATATTCATAATATGTTTAATATATACATATGTAGCACTTTAGAAAACCAAGCGTCATTAAAGGGACGAGGTGACCTGCAATAAAGAAACCTCTATAGCCATCACTCTCAAATTGATTTAGCCAAAAAATCCTCTGTTCATATTTTGCTTGTTAATATCCTGTCTCTCTAATGCTATTCCAAGCATGCTTTGGAAAATGATGAGAGGGAGTACCAACTGATATTTTCACAATATGTATACAATCCTCTCGTGTATTGTGAAACAGAAAATATGATGTTGGACCATGCACTGTCGATATCACTCTTTTTCTAATTTCCAGAACGTGTTCTGAAATAAAGCAAAGATAAAATAAAAGATACACAATGTTTCCATTCCATAGGATACAATCTTTGGTCATAAAATCAACGTGGCAAGCCACCACGGGAGTCAAGGGACATGGGAGGTGACTACTTTAAAGATCATGGGGTATTCTTCTGGGATGATGAAAAAGTTTTAAAACTGGAGAGGTGGTGGTTGTAGATTAAGGCACTGAATGTCACTCAGTTGTATACTTCAACATGATTAATTGATGTTATGTGAATTTCACCTCAATTTACAGTAACTGAAGGAATGTGACCTCCACTCATACAATTTTACTAGAACTAGATAAAGGTGCCATTTTTATCTAGTATGAAGGTATGAAGGTGCCACGTCATACCTGGGCATGCAGCTTATGGAGCCTACAGCATCTTGGTATAAAGAACAATGTGCTCCTTCCTCAGAATGGACAGAACCCCACATCAGGGCACAGCCTGCATTTCTGCACTTAGTAGCTCTATGGCATGGTCAACATTCTATCCCCCTCATACACAGATTCCTTGTCTCTCATTAGGATAAAAAGGTTTAGTATTGATGTACCTTTCACTTAGAAGGGCTTTAGCTCAGAAGCACTAAAAAGAGCTGGGTTGGCATTCAGGTAAACTGAGAAAGATCCTAATACTTGGCTTGTAATAAAAAGTTGTAGGTGAGAGGAGATCCTTGAAGTGTATTTGCTGTCCGGTCCAGGTCACCAGAACAGGAGCAAGAATGCCCTTGGTGTGCTCCCTTGGTTGATGCATTCACCAGATCTTATTCCTTGGAAGTCTAAGTGAGGCAGATGCAACCGGATTAGAAAACTAGTAAAATGGAAGTGAAGGATTTGGAAGAACCCCCAAAATTTGTAACTAGAAAACATTATTTCTTACTTCTTTTTTTTAAATTTGTTTTGTTACCTTTTTGGTTTGGTATCACAGACTGAACCAGGGCACTTAAACACTGAGCTACATCCCCAGCCCTTTTTATTTTTTTATTTTGAGACAAGGTCCCAGTAAGTTGCTAAGGGCTTCCCTAAGTTGCTGAGGCTGGCTTGGAACCAGCAGTCCTTCTGCCTCAGGCTCCCAAGCTGACATAAAGAAAGACACAAAGAAAAGACAACTCAAAACATTAGCATCTCTCCTACATAGAGATCAAATGGTCAAAAATAATAGCCCAAAACATGTCCTTTCTTCTTATGGCACTGGAATGGCCTGAGCCCCCTCAACCTGAAAGAAGTAGTGAAAACCAAAGAGAATAAGCACAGTAATTTTTAAAAATGTTTTATGTCAAGGTACTGGCATGTTACCCCCAAAAAACAATAGCGTTGTAACACCATGAATGCTTGTGACTCGTTCCTCTATTTCCGTGGACCCAATCAAGAAGACACGGGTTCAAACGGTAGAAGAAAAGATGCCGCTTAATTCTCATTTTCTTGACTGATTGAGGGGAAGTGAGGGAATGTTCAGATTAGTTTTCATTCTGTTGCTGAGGAGTAGCATTCTCACTGTAATGCCAGTGGCTCAGGAGGCTGAGGCAGGAGGATGGGGACTTCCAAGCCAGGCTTGGTAACTCAGCAAGGCCCTAAGTAATTTAGCAAGACTATGTCTCTAAATAAAAAAAATAAATAAATAAAAATGGCTAGGAATGTGGCTCGGTGGTTAAGTGCCCCTGGGTTCAATCCCTGGTACTAAAAAAGAAAAACATAATAATTCCCTAAGGGCAATTCAAGACCAGAACATGGAAACTGAGTTAAATTGAAGAAGATGTTGAAAGCATTACCGTGGTGGAAAAGCCCAGAAATTGAAATCCAAAGTGCAACACTACTATCTACAGTGCTATTATCAATAAAGTATTTCAACTCCTCAAATATCTAAACTTTTTGCAAGCAAAGATTTTTTTATTTTTATAGCTATACATAATTGTGGGGTTCATTCCGACATAACCATACATGCACGGAATATAATTTGTTCCATTTTAGTCCCCAGTACCTTCTCCCTCCCTCCTGTTCTTCCCCTCCCCATTTCCCCTTCTCTACTTCTTTGGCCTTCCCCCTATATAATTATCTTTATAAATTGGTACTTTATAGGGTTTATAAAGGTGGAATTCACTGTGGTACAGGCATACGGTGTCATTTAGTCAAACTCATTCCACTGATCCTCCCCTTTCCTGTCCCTCTCCACTCCCCTTCCAACCCTCCTCCCTCTGGGTTTTTCTATCATCTTCATAGAGCTGGTAAAATCTTCTTGAATATCAAAGATTCTGCCAAGTATAGATATAAATTCAATAGCTCCTACAAGCGTGACAATGACTAATGCCCATTTTAAGCATCCAAGGAAAGATTAGCACATCAAAGAAACTTAAGAAGCAGCCAGAAATTCACAAGGAACATGATCTTCTATTTCAAATAGGATGCGAGATTTTCAAATATGTCTTAATTCTGACTTGGGAATAGTTTATGACTTCTGCTCAAAGTCAGATGACTTCTTCATTTCTTGACAAAGAGAACAGCACTCGATATTCTGGTTCAAAGGCCCTGGCTGGCATTTGAACTTCCCTTTCTCTGCAGTACAGCCCACGCTCCTTGGAGGCCTGGTCACCTTTCATTTCACCCTAATGAAACCTTCATCCTTAATGGGCTGGAAAAATTATACGATTTGAATGCAGCAACAGACGAAGGTAGACTAGTCTCTAACATCTACAACGATCCGCATACTGTAGTTCTAACAAACTACTGACACATACTCCATTGTGAATATATTGAATATAACTTTATGCAACTAAAAACATTTAAATTTATAGAATATCCTGAGATAAAAGATTAGGCAAAGTCACAATTAAGTTCACACCACTTTTGGCACATGGTCATGAAGCTATTAAAAAATAAACAAAATCTCTAGCAAAGTCTCTAATTAGCATTGTTATTATTTATGCTAAGCTATACATCTTCACTCTCAAAAATGTCTGGAAGAAAGAGGGCAAGTTTTCACATCTGGGTTTCCCCCCTTCGATTTTCCTTAGAACAACTGCTTACTTGAGGGGGGAAAAAAAAACCGGGAACTAGCTATTATGGTTCACAATTTAGTCTGGAGTCAGAGAGTGGAGGGTCAGATTCCAGCTTCACATTGTGACCTTGGTGTGACCTTGGATCAGTTAATTAAATCTGTCTGTGGGCTCATTTTCCTCACCTGGATTATCAGAGTAGCAGTGATACCCACCCCATAAGATGGCTGAGAAAATTAAGTGAAT